TGGACAAAATGTGATGTTTGGGAGTTGGCTTCCATGGCAAATAGAATGAAAGAGAAATTTGATAAATATTGGGGAGATCCTATGAAAATGAATCAACTTCTTTACATTGCTGCTGTTCTTGATCCACGATATAAATTAGAATGGGTGCAATTTGCTTTGTGTAAAATGCACACAAGCGCAATTAGTACAAGTTTGGGGATGCATGTTAAAGAGCTTTTAATTTCTTTGTATAATGAATACAAACACACTTTTTTCCCCTCAACCCTATCTGAAAAGGAGCCATTGCATAGCACACTAGATCATTGTGATGAAGATGATGATCCTGCTATGAAAGTTAGAAAATTGCTTGATATTGAGGAACAAGAGTTCATGAATGAGCGTCTTGGTGGAAGAACTAGCAGAACTGAGGTTGATAGATATTTGAATGAAGAAATTGAGGTTAATAAAGATGATTTTGATATCTTAAGCTGGTGGAAGCTAAATGGTCCTAGATTTCCTATTCTTTCTCTAGTGGCAAGAGATGTTTTAGCTATCCCAATTTCTATGGTTGCATCAGAGTCTACATTCAGTACTGGAGGACGAGTTCTAGATTCATTTAGGAGCTCTTTAACTCCTAAAACTGTGCAATCTCTAATTTGTGCTCAAGATTGGCTTAGACGCTCAATTCAACATGTTGTAGAAGAAGGGAATGATGATATCCAAAAGATAGAATTGGGTAATATTTTATTTTTACTTATAACATTATAAGAATAATATAATGTTTGATTTATTATGATATATGAAGTCTAATTTTGTTTTTCTTTGTGTAGATTTGCAAAAAATTGCATTGGAGGCAACCGTTGATATACTATAGATGCAACAGGGAAAAAACTTAGGAGTAAATAAATATTGTGCTTAATTTGTTTGTTTTTTCTTTGGCTCTAAAGTTGTGCACTCTCTAATTTTCTTGTTTAATTGTAGTTGTTGTTGACTTGATGGCAAGTTGTGTGCAAGGAACTTTGGGACAAGTGATGGCTGAAATTTCAGGCTGCCTTGTGGAATTTCATTTTGGGTTACTTGTTTCAGTTGTTTGATTTTTACCATGTGATGGTGGGGTGTTGAATGTCTTCCACATGAACTTCGGCTAGCAGATGTTAATCAATTGCATAATGGGTTGACTTCAGATTGTTTATAAATGTTAATGATGAGTCAGGATCTGATGAGCTGGGGCACTTTTAATTTGTCTGTATTCTCTCTACTGCAATTAATCTCATGCTTCATTACTGGTATAAGCCATAAGTGTTAAGTTGAAAGGATTGGTGAAATGTAATGGGGTTTCAGGAGAGAGTTTGTTGTTATTTGGGATGAGAAAACTTTTTCAATGCTGATATATTTGATTTGTTTTATGTTCAGCTGATATCCGCAAGTCATAGATAGATTCTTCCTCCTCACTCAGATCGCTGGTTTTGCTCTCAGATGGTTGTTCTTCTTGTTCATTGACAATGGTTCATGATGGTTCTTCTAGGATATTTACAATTTTATAGGTGTTGTGGCGTTTTCAAGGATATTAAATTTTGGGAGGATTGCAATTACATATTTACAACTTGTCATTGACTTTTTAATAATTATTCTGTCTCAGAATATATGTAGTGTGTAATAAAATATATTTGATTTTGGAATTTAAAACTTTAATCACACTTTTCAAATATCCAGATTCTTTGTACAAAGAGAGCCCAAAAAATCATTTTTTCCCACTATTTAGACTTTTTGTGCGTACTGGGCTAGAATGGTACCTGAAAAAAAAAAAAAGGCCCAATAAAAGGCCCAATGACCGAATAAGCCCACTAACCGAACCAAATGTATATCGGTTATTTCGTTTCGGTTAGTTTACTATGTTCAGTTTCGGTTCGGTTTTTTCATTGTGATCATTTCAGTTATTCGGTTATTTTGGTTATTAACACTAACCGAACCGATTAATTGTTTACTTAGTCCTATTAACAGGTTTATTGCAGCTCAATTGGTAAAGCTGCACGTGCGCACAGAGAAGGTCTTGGGTTCGAGCCATGGAGAAGTCACTTTAAAGAGAGAATTATATGGTGGCGACATGTGGCAGCAAAGTTGAGCTGGCAGTACACATGACAAGTAGAGGTGAGGTGGCAGAGACACATGGAGGTGGTCCCTAGTGATGACGTGGCAATTGGTAGAAGTGCCACGTGGCATTTTATTTTATTTTTAAAAAAATTAGGTTAGCGACGGAATTTTTTGTCAAGAATTAGCGACAGAAATTTCTGTCGCTAATCTGTAGCTAATCAATTAGCGACAAAGGAATTAGCAACGGAACAAATTCCATAGCTAATCCGTCGCTAGTCCATCGCTAATTTCGTCGCTAAAAGCATGTTTTTGTTATAGTGCAATATGACATATAAAAATACCAGCAATGCTATTTTTTTTTTTTTAACAGTCAGTGAGCAAATGAGTTTCATATTTATAATTTTATACCTACCCATTCCATACAAAAAAGACATCCCTTAGGCTTTGAGAATACATATACACACACACATATCCTTAGGAGTCAGGGTATATAATTTATCATTGTACTGATAAACTAGATTTAAAAACAATTTTTTGTTTTGATATTATTTTTGCATCAAATACGTGAAATAGAATATATGTAAGATAAAGATAATTACTCAAGCATGAATTAAACAAAAGACATACTTGTTAGAAATAAAAACCATTTAAAAATGTATTGAGAAGATAACTTACTTTTTCTTGCAGCATGCATCGTCCGTTCTGTTGGCACTTGATGTGTTTGTAGTTAGTCAAGTTACTTAGGATTGCCAGCAATGCCTCCGCTTGAAAAGAAAAAAAAAGACCCACCAGTGCCATCCATTCCGTATCAAAAGCGCTTCCCTTAGGTTTTGAAGACTACACACACACACACTCAGGGTGCATAAACTGATAAATACAATGATAAACTATAAAATAAAAATTATTAAAAAAACAATTTTTATATTATTTTTGCATCAAATACATGAAATAGAATGTACGTAAGATAAAGATAATTAATTAAGTATGAATTAACAAGCATATTTGTTAGCTGGTTAAAAAAAGAAGAAGCATATTTGTTAGGAAATAAAAATCTTTAAAGATTTATTGAGAAGATAACGCACCCCATCACATGTTACTTTTTCTTGCAGTTCAGATCATCCATTTTGTTTGGCACTCGACATGCTTGCAGTTAGTCAAGTTACGTTTGGATGCAAAGTTTGTGAATTCGTCACCCATGACCTCATGGATTTTCGGGCATTGGGCTTGTTTGGATTCAGACTTGATGGATAGATGTACTACCTCATGTCATTAATACAAGAGCTAATTGACTAATTTGAGTAGATTAAGAAAGTTAGTTAAATTAGTTATTTATAATAAATATGTGTTATCTTTCCTAAAATATCTTAAATATAACTATTATTATAACAAAAATTATTTTAAAAAAATAAATATAAGAAACAAAATGAATTGGAGTCTTATATTTAGGATTAAAATAAAAGTTAAATAAATTCTTATATTAAGTTCCAGAGTTAGTAAATTATATGTCCATGCTTTTCCTAGCTAGAAGCGGATGTAGGAGAGTAACCAGGGATACTTCCGATCATCGTTGGATATGGGGCTCTAGCCTCAAACTCACCTCAATTCCTTCAGCCATTGCGGAATTGAATGGATTATTTTATGTCTATGCTGATCCAAAAAACATGGAAACATAATCCTTCACGCTAATTGCAATGAAGCCATTAGCTTAGTCAAAAGGGGGTGCGATGAAAACAACTCCTTTAGAGATACTATTGAAGATGTTAGATTACTTGCTCATAGAAACTGAAAAGTACTATCTCCAATAAGACCTCATTTGTAGTTTACAAATAAGATTTTATAATGAAAATCGGAGGTAGTATTATTTAGACATAAATAAAAGGAGTTTCTAGGTGATTTTGGTTCTTTAGCAAAATTCCCCCATTTTATAAAAAAATTCCTTTTGTATTCTTGATCAATCACCACTTTGTTTGGCAAAAATTTGAAGTAGATGAAAGAATATGACTACAAAAAATAAGATTTTTTGTGACAACTAAAAAAGTTACTGATCAAAGTGTAACTTTTCAGTCGGCGCTCAAAGTATGTCTTTTAGAATAACTTTCAGTGGCAACTTATTTGTTACCATTGAAAGTAAAACTTTTAGCAGCAACTCTAGAAAATCACCCTAAAAGTTTGTCTTTTAGTGATAATTGTTTTAATCGCTGCTCAAAATATGACTTCAATGGCAACTTTTTCAAGTTGCTGTTGAACATCTCACATTCAGTGGCGCTTCTAATAAGTCATTGCTGAAGAACGGACTCTTGGTGGCAACATTTTATATTGCTACCAAGAGATTGTAAAGGGCCGACTTTCATTTGTGATCGTATTTACATTTATTGTTTTTAATTTTGGCTAAAATATACATTTAGTCCTTTAACTTTATATAAAGTTTCAGTTTAGTCCTTTAACTTTAAAAAGTATACTTTTAATCCTTTAACTCTAAAATTGTTAGTGTTAAATGATGATTTTTTGTAACAATCATGGTTGTTATGAGTATTAAACTTAATATATTAGCATTTAGTACTGTTTTATCAGCATTCAAAAACTTAATATTATCATGTTTTGTTAACAGTTTTAAGATTAAAGGACTAAAAGTTTACTTTTTTAAGTTAAGGGACCAAAATAAAACCTTGTATAAAGTTAAAGGACTAAAAGTATAGTTTAGCCTTTAATTTTTTATCCAAATTGCTTTGTCTTACTTATAAATTAAATTGATGTATAATCTGATAATACATATAATTATTTTAGAGAAATCACATAACATGTGCTATAATTAAGTAATCGAGTAATTCTTTCAATCTTCTCATATTAATCAACTGAGTCTTATATTAAGGACTGGATATGGTATTGCACACGTGTTTCATTCCTTAGTCATAAATTATTATATTCAAATGTTACATCACCCTTTATTTATTCTATATATAACATAAACCGTACATACCTTGTGACATGCATTATTCATAAACCATCTATATATATGTGTGTCTATAAATAGTGTGACTCTCTTTAGACTCGGATCCATACAAAGTAACATGGCGACGATCTAGTTTATTTATAAAACTCAATGACTCCCAAAGCAGTGGAGGCAACACGAGCAGCAATGCGGTAGCTAGAAAAGCCACTATCTTTGCAAAGAGCTTCAAATTCTTCCTCTGTTCTTTCCTTCCCACCAGGTTGCACAAGCATGAGGTTGTCAGCAATTGATACATGCTTATGGCCGTCGCTTCCGTTTGGTAATTCTGGCATTAGAAGGTCAATAATAATAAGCTTGCCTTCATTTTTGAGAGATCTATGGCAGTTTCTTAATATTTGAATGCAGGTTTCATCTCCCCAGTTATGAGTTATAAACTGCAAGAGATTGAACATATAGCTTACCATTAGCAAAACCTAGGAATAATAATTAATTACCCTGTAAAATTATTTGTAGTGTCTAACTGACCTTCATCATTATAGCATCACCTTGTGGAACGCTTTTGAACATATCTCCTCCAACGTGCTTCATTCCTTTAATTATCCAAAGATCGTATGGTAAGCTCAAAGAAAAATTTTGAGTGCATGAGTTTTGAAAATTACATAATTCCATTGATTAATACGTTAAGGTGCAAATTTTTTCATAAAATTAGATTCAATATGCGTCAAACACCATATACTTTTGTCAAATGCAAAACTACCCGTAAAAGGTTAAAATAAGAGCAAAAATGAGAATGCCATTAACTATGTCATATGTCAAAAGATCTTTTTACAGTGGTCTGGACAAGAATTTTTACACCGATTCTATAACCATTGTAGATATATAGTTAATATGTACAGGCGCAGAAAATGATTTTTCTACACCATTTGCTAACTAATTTAGAAAAGGCTAACCAAAAAGCAAACATAAAAAATGAAAATGACAAAAAAAAGGCTGAAATTGTGATTTCCAAATTCAGGAAGCTACGATTCATAAATAACATAAAAGGAAGTAAACTCAAATTGAAATTTAAAATTAAAAAAAAATGAAAAAAATACTCCTTTGAAATTCAAGGAAGAAAAATCCTCCTCATTTTCTACACAGGTTGTAATGCGTAGAAAGTGTTTATATGTCAAACATGTGCGCATGTAGGCGTGTGTACCTGGACAGGATAATGCATGTTGTATCACTTGTGGCAAGTCAAGGTTAATGCCCTGAATTGAAGGATACTTGGAAATGATCATTTTGAGGCTTTGGCCAATGCCACCACCCACATCAACAAGTGTTGATATTCCCTCAAATCCTTTGTAAGTCGCAAGTACATACTTCATCATCATGGTTGACAAATCAGCCATTGCCCTGTGAAAAGCAGTTTTGAACGTTGGATCCATTTCCATATATTCATACATAGGCATCCCATGAACTTTCTTGAACAGGTCCTCTTCCTCATCAAGAATCACTTGCTTGAAGTTTTGCCTGGCATCGTATATACAAAACATGAAATGGATAAACACAAATTGGCGATTATCAATCAAAACATGAAATACTTACCAAATTTTTACGTAGGCGGGATGATTACATAATTTGAAGAATACAATGCTGGAGGTTTCATCTTCATCGGGGATTAAGTATTTACCACTAGGAGATAGAGCATAAAACCTCTCATTAAGTTTGTTGGAAGAACAAGTCAAGAGAGAATAATTAGAAAGCAAAAACAACATTCGGTCAAGCCGACGAGCCATGCCGGCATATGAATTTTCGAGCTTGGAAGCAATTTCAGAGGGAGACATGCCTTTGGGGGTTCCCTTACCAATGATCTCAAACAAGTTCAACTCAATAGCAGCATTTAACACTGCAAGGTAAATGGGATCAGATGCCAACAACAAAGAATTTAAAGAGGAACTAGAATCATATTCATGATTCTCAATGTTGGTACTCATAATTGCTATAGCTTCTTTTTGTTGTAGATAGTCTCTCTAGTAGTAACTATGGACGATGAAAGGGCAAACTTTTAATCTAAAAGTTCCTACTGCCTGATTTTCTAGGTCTCGTTAAGGTGTTATTTATATGGCGTAATTTAATGGTGAGACCCTGCATTATTGCATTGAATCCTAATACAAGCTGTACTCATGTGATGTCAACGGTACAACTTCTTATAAATTTTTTTAAAATACAGTATAAATTTGACCGTTGACAATTGACATATTTTGTGATATTAAATATAAGCAACGGATTTATCGTTGAAATTTATATTTAGAACAAAAAACAAGCTGCTAAACGTGGGATTTGAAAAATTGTACAACTTATGATTCTCTTACAAGCAAAGTTTTATGAGTTCAATAAAATTGTATAATTTATAATTCTTCTATTGGGCATGAAGCAGATAATTTAATTGGTAGATATGTCGATCATTGATGATGCCTCTGTCGTTAAAGCACTCAATTAAACTAGGTCCCAATTAATTTGTAGTTTATGGTCGACCTAGGTCATTACTTCCAAGGAGCAAGTTATGGGTTTCTTTAGGTAAAAATTTAGGTGATGAAAAAAATGCAATAAATTGGACTTAAACTAAAATTTAAAATTCTAATTCTAAATGCAAAATGCAAATGTCCTAATATCTATATGAAAATTAAATTAAACTAAATGAATGCAATGCAAATTTTGGGGGTTTTTTGGTTTGAAGATAGAAAATTAAAATGATAAATGAAGAAAATTGACTAAAGAGCAAAGAAAATTAACAAGTGAAAACTGAGAAGTTCTCTTCGGTAAGGTAGAGGGGACAACTTAGGATTCGCATGGATTTAACCTTCATAACCTTAATCAGTTAATTAGACCAAAGTGAAGTGATAAGAGAGTGGAATTAATAAAGTTAATCACCTATTTGAAACAAAGGGAACCCTCAATTCCAAAAACCCTTAAACTATTAGAGAACTCATAACAGTATAAGGTTGGTTAATTAAGCTTATTAAAACCAATGAAAATATCTCAAATTAATTCTGGAAATCATGTTTGAAATTATCCAATTAAATAATTAGACAATTAACCAACTTAATTAAACAATTAAGAGGCAAAAGAACCCAAATTTTGCAATTCAAACCACATTGATAATTAAACTCATAATGAAAACTCAATTATAAATTCAATTAGCAATGCAAAGGTTCTAAACATAAATTCCAACAAGTGTCTCAACACACATAAAATCCAAATATCAATCCAATCCAAGCATAAAGATGACAATCTAGAACTAAATTGTCTCACAAAATTACAACTTAAAATTATTTAAAACTAAATAATCTCAAGTCCTTGAATTAAAAAGATAAATGGAACATCACTCCTTTATGGTCTTCAAGTGCTAGCCCAAGGCTCAAGTCTCCTTCATGCTCCTCCCAAGTTGCCTCCCTATAAGCTTAAGCTTCCATCAAATTGCCTTCTCCTCCAAAATTGTTTGATGCTACGGCCATAATTTGATGAAAGTTGATGATGATGTGGAGATGGGAATTGGATCGCCTCCAGGAAAAATGAATGTGAAAGGAAGATGGTTATTTAATTGGTGGGTTTGCTTGACGTGAATGAGGGGGAGGAGAGTTGGCGTTGAAAAATTGATGTCCGTACGTGAGTCAATGGAGAATGGAAAGGAGATATCCTTAGGCGTGAATATGGCATCAATGATTCAGGGGTATTAGGCGTTTTATTGTCCTCTCAAATAAAGAAATTATTTTAATGGGAAAAAAAGAAATTTTTTTGAATCCAAAACTCAAGCCCATTAGTAATTAATTGACCCACTTGATATTAGTCATTGGATTGTGCTTAGATTCCAAGAAACAATCTTGCACTATTGGATCTCCTATATTCTCTTTCTTGACCTACAAGAATTTAAGTGCATCCATTGATGTAGATTATATCCAAATATAATCAAAAATTAAATATTAAATCTGAACAAAAATTAGGCAAGAAATTGTAAAACTTTCTAAAAATAATCTTTCTAAAAATACGAGACTTGTTTCCAAAGAAATAAGAAAAATTAATTCCAAGTCAAAAATAGGAAATCACAAAATATCTATATTTTTAATCCAAAAACTCAAATTTTCTGCAAAATCCAAAAATCAACTAATTAATCCAATTATGCATAAAAATCCAATTAAGCCCAAAATTGTCATGTAAATCCTGAATTAATGTGGGATAAAATATATAAAAATTGGGCTTTATCAATCATTCTTGATAAAACTTCAAATTTGGTAAGTAAAACTTCAAATTTTATAAAAGATTAATTTTAAGGATAGACACACATTCATGCTCAGGACGAAAAAATATTAACATATTTTTGAATGCATATTTTGTGACTTTCATTTTTTTTTTTTTTGATGTAGTTTGCCAGTTAATTGGAAGAAATTCTTTTTTGTTTTGTTTTTTGGTGTGGATAAAGTGGAAGCTATTCTAATTTATAATTTTTTTTACTAGTGTTCAATTCAATTACTAAGAACTTTACTGAGTGTGTATAACCATTTACACTCTTAGCACTTTTGAAACATCATCAATTCATCATCATACAAAACACACACACTCACACAGACATGACATGAAAATCTTTTTTTATTATTTTATTTTTTAAAAGTGAAATATTCTTTATTTGCTAAAAAGCTTAAGAGATAATATCAAAATCTTCAGCTATTATATAAAAAAAATCTAAATATTTAGTAAGGATAGAAATAAAAGAATATGATGAGAATAATATCCACCAATATTATTAAATTGTCTTTTATCTTTTTTCAGCTCATATATATATATATATATATATATATATTTATTATTGCTACTACTACTTAAGTAATAGTATTTGGGTGGGAAGAAATGGAAAATAGTATTATCTTCGATCTTTAATATAAAAGTTATATAACTAATTTAGGGATATCAAGAAGATTAATTAAATCTGTTATTTGTAACAAACATATATGGAATTTCCTAAGCTATCATATTTAATCATGTGTATTGAAATTATCATAACAAATTTTGGGAGTGGAGGAATTATAAATTTAAGAGACAAATTAGATTAAAGTCTTATATTTAAGACTAAATCAAACTCCTAGCTAATTTTTAGATCAAAAACTTGAGGTAGTAATAAGCTAGACCTTACAAAACAAGAGGGAATATTTGCCACTTTATCAATCTGCTGGCGATTTCAAAAGGGATTGCTAGATCTGTTTTTGGCTTTCATGATATATATCATGGGTACTTATGTTATTTACATAAGAGTTAATACAATTTTTGGTTCCTTAGTTTTCATAAGTTTGGTCACTCAAATTTCTTTCGATTTGAAATATTGATTCCTATAATTTAATAAATATCTGAATCATTTTGCTTTTTGAAGGATCAAAACCAAAATGAGGGTTAATTTGAAGGATCAAATATTATATTAATCCTTTACACAAACTAAAAGTTCTCCAGGCATGGAAATATTTTTATTTTTTGAAACACATATAATTTGGAAAAAGATATTCAAAATTTATCAATCTGAAAAGTCAGTTAATTATTAATAAATAATAAAAATAATTCATTTATTGACCCAAAAAAATAATTTGTTTTATGCGGCGTCATATCATAGATAAATAGATAATCAATGAATCGTAATGGATTATTTTAATTTTAAATTATTGCGTCTATATTTAATAAATATTATGTCGTTACAGGGTTATATTCTAAATATGTCTCGTATTTTATTAAAACATGATATTCTCGTGTTCTTTGTTTCGGACCTCATTGGTATATTCCCGTGTTCATAGTCATACCATTATTGGTAATTTTTTTGACTAAATATTCAAAGAGAAATAAAATATAATATAGTGAATTTAATCATGCATTAAACATAATTTAAAATATCAAGCCACATGAAAATTATAAAATTTAACTGAGAGCTGGAACCGGCCCACTTTGGGCCTAGGGAAAAATGGGGCAAGTTGAGTTAATTAAGATTTTATCAACTCTGGTGGGCCATGGCAGCTAGCTTGCTTTCTATTGTTTATGTTTAGTAACCGATAGTAATTTCTGAAAACTTCAGAAGGATTAGATTTGAAAAATAAATACGTTTATGAACAAGTTCAGTTTCATTTTCAATATAATTTTATTTTCAGATTTTACAAAAAGTATTAAAAAATTATCTTTGCACATCAATCTTTTTGGGGTAGCAATACATGATAGAACTGCAATATGACATATAAAAATACCAGCACTGCTTTTTTTTTTTTTAAACAGTCAGTGAGCAAATAAGTTTCATATTTATAATTGTATACCTACCCATTCCATACAAAAAGGCTTCCCTTAGGCTGAGAACACACACACACACACACACCCCACCTCAGGAATCGGGGTATGTAATTTATCATTGTACTGATAAACTATATTAAAAATCAATTTTTTGTTTTGATATTATTTTTGCATCAAATATATGAAATAGAATATTCGTAAGATTAAGATAATTACTCAAGCATGAATTAAAAAAATAATTGTTAAGAAATAAAAACCATTTAAAAATGTATTGAGAAGATGGCTCACCTTTTCTTTTTTGAATGAGATGACTCACCTTTTCTTGCAGCATGCATCATCCGCTTTGTTAGCACTTGATGTGTTTGTAGTTAGTCAAGTTACGTTTGGATGCAAAATTTGTGCGTTGGTCACACATGACGTCATAATTTTAGTTCATCAGGAAATTGTTCTGATCATGCATGCTTGTCTTTACATATCGTACGTAACCCGCTATGGTAAGTTGTTTGATTTTATAGACACCAGGATTGTAGAAATGTCAATGATAGACTTTTTTTTTAGTAAGACTTGATGGATAGATGTACATTAAATACGTTTATGAACAAGTTCAGTTTCATTTTCAATATAATTTTATTTTCAGATTTTACAAAAAGTATTAAAAAAATTATCTTTGCCCATCAATCTTTTTGGGGTAGCAATACATGATAGAACTGCAATATGACATATAAAAATACCAGCGATGCTTTTCTTTTTAAAAACAGTCA